TGTAATTTTATTTGTGAAGTACTTCATGTTATTGAATGGTGAACTCTGATTGGTCCAGGGAAGGCCAAATTCGTTTACCAAAAATCACCAGTTGAATACCATGTTCCTTGTACTACGTGAAGTCTAATTGTCCAATCCTATTGGCTGAAATTTGGATTGAAAAAATAATCAAAGTAAAACCGACGTGGGGGTGTTACACATCTGGAGTACTACATTCTGATTGAAAAAGCCCAGGAGAGAATTAATCTTCAATAGTAATACCCCGAGACCTTCAAATTCATCGGATATTTAACGATTGTTTTGTTGCGTTGGAACGAGAGGAATAAGTTGAGGAAGAAGTTTAGCATATTAACATCTCGGGGGCGCAGCGTGAGGGATTTATGTGCAAAACTTAACCTGATCGTTGATACGCCGGAAAATATATGGGTAAATTTCCAATTATTTCTGAAGGTTGAATGGTATTCGACGGATTAGTCTTGGTAATCGGATCTGGCCAAGCAGAGTGTAGTATACGATACACTTGAAGTACATACAACTCGACCAATGTTTCCATCAATTCCTGCTAACAAATTCTTCCCAAACGACCCATTTTTTTCTCTCTCTCTCTTCATTGTTGACTTTACCCGATAATATTTTGCTGTTATTTGGTGAGAAAACCACTAACGACAGAGCTGGAGGGAAATTATCCAAAGATACAGGGATATTGTAAAAAGCTAGATGACAAGTATTGGTTATAATACCCCTCGAGCTTGCAAATTAATCAGATATTTCCCTCAAGTTTCCCTGCCCAGCACCACGTGCGTGCTGTTTGGCACAAAATCCTTCGCGTAGGCGCTCGGGATTTTGATACTGCCAAACATTATGCACGTGTTGCTGAGCAACAAAACTTTCGGGAAATATCCGATAAGGTCCAAGTTCTCGAGATACTACAATATAACAGATAATTCCCTGTGCTGTTATTTCCCGTTGAGAAGGAGAATGTCAAAAAAACTTTGTTAATTGTCTCATGATGACACCGAATACTACTATTTTATTTATCTAAATGGTGATGGAGAAAGTAATCCGCCGGATACACCCTTCGAGCCTCAAAATAAATCGGTGTATTTCCCTCAAACTTCACTGCTCACAAACGAATGCGTCAAGTTTCTCAGGAAAAATCGTTCGCGTAAGCACTCGAGATTGTAACCTGAAATACTTGACACATTCATTTGTATGCAACGAAGTTATCAGGAAATACCCGATCATTTTGAAGTATCGGAACCGAATATACTTCTATAAATTTGCGATTTCCACGATAAATGGTGTATATGTTGAAACCACAAGACCTCTACTGTATATTCTGTCTACCTAAAAAAACAAAAACAAATGTTTTTACAACAAACTGAGCCAAGAAAAGTTTTGTTTGTTTCTTGTTGGTAAGTAAAATTTTTGCAAAAATGTAAAGAAATGAAAAAGGAAGCCAAGTCAGCAATGTTAGATGAATGATCATAGTACAAATTGAATTTCTATGAGAAAAACGCTTTTAAATCAAGTGAGGATTTGAAAGAAATTCACTATGTAATAAAAAATAGGAGGACCAATTTTCTTGGCGCAGATTTTTTACACTGACTTTCTGGTATCAACCGAATCCTCGGTCTTCCAATCCGCGTCAAGAAAATTGTTCCTCCTATTTTTTATTTTATAGAGAATTTCTTTCAAACCCTCATTTGATTTAAAACCATTCTTCTTATAGAAATTTAATTTGCACTATGACCATTCATCTGACATTGCTGACTTCGCGTCCTTTTTCATTTCTTTATATTTTTGAAAAAATTTCACTTGCCACAAGAAACAAACGAAACCTTTCTTAGCGCAGTTTTTTGCAAAAACATTTGTTTTTTTTCGGCAGATTTTATTATTTTTTTCAAAATAATAACTAAGGAATCGTTTCAAATCCTGTAAAATTTTCTCGTTTCAATTCAATTAAAATCGTTTATTTTCACAAAACAGACCTTCTTTCCTATTGACTATTGGAGCAGGAAAACTAATTTCACTCCAGATTCGTTATTTCCACCAACTATTAATTATACATTCAAAATTTTCTGATCCAATTGATTTCATCCATTCAATTCTTTCTTTGATTTTCTACGGGTATTGTATCATTTTAAGAGATAGATTGATTTCCCCTCAAAAACAGCTGAACGAAATTTTCACTTGAGAAGCTTTCATGAGAATATCAGTTTCTATTTTTTTTCTGACCATAATACTACTTTTTTAGAAATGATAACAAAACCGTTGTCGTGCATCTCAGCGTAACCTAATGTAGAACATTTTTTTGAACGAAATTGAAAATATTTTCTGATATTACTCGGAAAAAGTACATATTTTGTTTCCAATTTAAGCCATGCACGGACACTCAATTCTTGATCACACAATTTTTGACGAATATGAATCCTCAGATTCGGAACATAATCCTTCATAACCCCACAAACGATGTTTATTTCCGAGGCCCTGATAGAGAAGACGGAAGAATACAAAATAAATAGAACATACAGGTGATTTATAATTTCACTCTAATGAATGATTTTAAGTGAGAGAAACATTTCCCGTGTTTCTCCATAACAATATTACAATTCACATTTGAATGCACTGGTGCCATCACCCCGACGTCGAATAGGAAGCTTAGTTGGATGAGTATTGCCAACGTCGAGAACAAAACTCAGTCTTGATAATGTGAATCGCGAGAATGGAAATATAAACCCGTTGCTATGCGCCTAACTTCTCCATTTTTTTAATCTAAATGATACAAGTGTTGCACCATTGGAAAGCTCATGGACATCTTATATAGTGTAACAAAGGACAGTTTTGCAATTCATCTCCTCGTTCTCATAATATTAAGGTTGTTGTCGTGTCACTTTTTTTTCGACACATTTTTGTCAAATTTTATCGTAGATAGCTCTAATAATTAGCTGTAGAATGAGCCCATTATGATCCCGATAGGGCGTTTCAAACTTGATATATTTTTGCTTCCGTGTGAAAGCATTGTAATCATTCTATTTTTCGACTTTCTAATTTTGCTTGGAAACGATTCAGAATGGTCTGAAAAGCCAAAATACGAAGTTTGACCATCCCGTGTGTATGCGCGGGTGTGCACCTGGTGGTCAACTTTTAGAAAATTGGAGAATTAAAGGGCTAGAATGATTCAGAAGAATCGGAAATTTTGTCAGATTATAGGTATTAATAACGACTAACTCTGTGCCAAATTTCAGCTCAATCGATCCAGCCGTTTTCGAGAAATTTTCATTTGTTTCTAAATCGTTTTTCACAAATATCTCGGAAACTATTGGATCGATTTCATTTTTATTTTTTTCAAAATACTCGTCTCGATGTCACCGACAACAAACAATTAAAATATATATACTGGTTCATTCAATTTTTCTGTTTTTTGTTAAAAATGCTTGTTAGCACTCTAACCTTCGCAAAAATGGATATATTAATTTGAAATTTGGCATGAAGTTTCCTCTCTGCACTGAAATGTTTGGTATTGAAAATGGGTTCAATCGGATTATTAGTTTTGGAAATATTCAAGTTTGTATATAAATATACTTTCTTGAATATCGCGAAAACTATTCAACCGATTGCATTTATTTTTCAAAATACTCGTCTTGATGTCACCTATAACAAGCAATCAAAAGAAATATACCGGTTTATTCAAAGTTTTCGTGATATTTCAATTTTTCCTTTTTTTTCTAAAAATGTTTGGTAGCACTCTCACTTTCGCAAAAATCGATATATTAACTCGAAATTTCAATTTCGACTTTTTCGAATTTTGAGTTTTGAATGATAGTCTTGAAGGGGTCTTCAACTGGTCAGGTTTTTCAATCATTTTCCCATGACTAACTGAAGGCCCACTTCAGCAACTACGATAAGGGACATTGAAAAGAGTTCAAATGGGGGTTAAGAAAAGAAAAATTGTAAAAATGGGAAGGGATAGGAGGATCAATGAAGGAGGAAATATTGTATCATGTCGATCCCATTCGGAAGCATACCATCAATTTATTCGTGGCGGAGAAAGTTTGAATAAATGCTCATTGTCACATACTCGCTGTCATATGCCCGCGGTCCCCTGCTTGTTTTTCGATGAAAATTCCTCAATATCTCCACGTGGTTAAAACAAAAATTGGATATAGCATTTTTCGTCAGAAAAAACAAGATTTTTGTTTATCCAATGCGTTTCTGACGGTAAAAATGCACTTTTTCCCTCAAAAAAGTGGAAAATCACGTTTGTGACCCTGTTCCCCAGGATTTTTTGTCATTTTTTCTCCTTCTTCAAGAAAGCGAGTTTTGTCTCATTGTTCCATCGTAACACATTTATTTTAATATAACCGCGCTTGGTATGTTGGCGACAATGGGTGGCGGCGCCACCATGCGCCAGTCTGGCGGGTACGAGCATGCGGGGACGCTTGATGATGTCAGAGTCTAACCGACGCCACAAGTGTGTGTTTCGTGTGCAACTGCAAATTAATCATTTGACAAGTCATCCTGANGTCTATGGTGTTCACGACAAAGGTCCCTGGTTTACGAAGATTCTTCAGTCAATCGATTTGTTTTGATGACCATAGGGCGGTCCTTCCATTTTTTNCTTTCAATCATTTTTTCGACGCGTCATCACGTCTGGAGACGCATCGTTTCATCAATCCACCGTCACTCCCGTTCCAGGAAGCTTCACCGCCCAGCAGGTCTCAACATCGTGGAATAGTGCAAGAGATAAGTCCTTAACATTTATCTTCTTTACATTCAATTGTTTATTTAGGCCATTTTATTATTTTTTTTCTCGTTCATTTCCATCCGTCTATGGTGTTCACGACAAAGGTCCCTGGTTTACGAAGATTCTTCAGTCAATCGATTTGTTTTGATGACCATAGGGCGGTCCTTCCATTTTTTCGAACATTTCAATAACTAATCTATCGGTTCTATTAATTGATCAACACAATACTGTCGCAAGAAATTTGAAATTAAAAATGGAGCTCTCTCTAGACGAGAAGAAACGCGTCGCGTACATCGAACAAAGATTAACTTCTTTGAAAATTCAATTAGGGAAGTTAGAACAATATTTGGAGGGTCTAAGTCCTGATCCTGCAAATGCTAAGATGCGTTTGGACAGTTTATCATCACTTTACGAGGCTTGTCTCAAATACAACGAGGAGTTAATTTCACTCCAACCAGGAAATCCTCAAGTAAATATCTTTTTGGAGGTCGAGTCTCGGTATTTCGAAGCTGCCGGTTCCGTTACAAAATTACAACGAGTCGAGCATTTTTTGAGTTCCACTCTAAACAGTAGCAACATTACGATAACAGAACGACAGGAATTGCCTAAGCTCCCAAAAATTAAAATCCCCACTTTTGACGGTAAGCGGGAAAATTGGGCATCTTATAAGAATAAATTCATTGCTCTTGTCCATTCTCGTACAGATGTCAGCGACGCAGTGAAGTGCAGTCAACTTTTTGACTCTCTCACTGATTCCGCGCTTAAGAAAGTAAGCCAATTTGATCCCAGCGATAAAGATTATCCGAAGGCTTGGAAGACACTTTTGGAGTTTTACGATCACAAGCGCATTGTGGCAGTAGAACATTTGAACGCTCTTCTAGATCTTCCTCGGTGTACCAAAGCTTCGGCTGACGAATTGTCATCGCTCTTAGATGAAGCTCGTCAGCACCTGCATATTTTAGAAGGACTTGATGCTCCACCTGGCGAGAATTTACTTGTTCGTATCATCGAACGTTGTCTTCCTCCAACAACCAGGAGCAAATGGCAGGATAAACTCAATATGGATGAATTACCAAAGTTGGACGATTTATTCGGGTTCATCCAAACGACCATTTTCAAACTGCAGGCTCTGGATACCTCAGTTACCCCTAATCGCGTCAACAATCCGAAAAAGAGACCTGGAGAAACTCCTACTCAATCGTCGAATAAATTCGCGAAGAAGGCTTCTCATGCATTTGTTACGTCGTCCAAGTCTGAGGCAATCTCCTCTCAATCGACATATCTGACTTGTCCGAAGTGCAATAAAGCTCATCAACTTTTCAAGTGTCCGGCGTTCAGTGAACTCGGTGTTCAAGATCGTTGGGACTTTGTGAAGAGTATTAAAGCCTGCAGAAATTGTCTTTGGGTCCATCCATTCCCTTGCAAGAACGACAAGCTCTGCAAGAAGTGCCATCGTAATCATCATACGCTGTTGCACAATGACAAGGGCTCTCAACAATTAAAGCCCCAGGATACAAACCCCTCTCCATCCATCAGCGGTCAAAAATGACTAGGACACCAAGCGTACACGTCTGTCGCTTTTCCATCGGACTCACAATTGATGACAACGGCAGTCGTGAAAGTCCAAAATAATCGAGGGAATTGTGTCACGGCACGAACACTGTTGGATTCTTGTTCTACAGTAAATCTAATTACCGAGCGATTTGCCAAGTCGCTTCGGCTATCTAAAACTAGTTGTTCTGTGAACATTGGAGCAGTTGACGGTCTGTGCACTGTTTCAAAACAATATGTTCAATTAATTCTCAATTCAAAGTACAATGACTTTAAACAACAATCGAATTTTTTGATAGTACCAAGGATCGCTGATCTAGTGCCTAGTGACGTTTTCCCTCGACATCAATTTGACATTCCCAAAAATCTTCAACTCGCTGATCCGCAGTTTCATCTTCCAAGATCAATCGATCTTTTGTTAGCTTCTAACACTATGCTATCGATCTTGTCCGTAGGCCAAATCAAACTCTCTCATGAGAATTCTGCCATCGTTTTACAAAAAACTCGGTTAGGTTGGATCGTCGCTGGAGGTTCTGAGTTGTTGACGTCTTCAACAACCTCCTCTTGTAATGTTGTCAAATTAGACCAACTTATCGAGCGTTCCTGTTTTATCGAGGATTTTGATCACGAACCCGTTCGATCTCGTGATGAAATTTCCTGTGAACAACATTATGTCACACATACTAAACGAGATGTCACTGGTCGGTACATAGTTCGTCTTCCATTCAGAGATTCTAAATTCAATCTTGGTGAATCTCGTTCGCAAGCACTCAAACGCTTTTCTTCCCTAGAACGAAAACTTTCATCAAAACCTTTACTCAAATCTGAATACACCAGGGTGATGGAGGAGTATATCTCTCTTGGTCATATGACTCTTTGCGATGAGATCGAGGGTGGATGTTATCTTCCTCACCATGCTGTTTTCAAGGAGTCCAGTGAAACCACTAAAGTTCGAGTAGTGTTCGACGCGTCGGCTAAAACGTCTACGGGCATTTCGCTCAACGACACTCTTCTGGTCGGTCCCACTATCCAGAATACTATATTCGAACAAGTCCTTCGATTTCGCACTCATCGTTACGTCATCACAGCGGACATTGAGAAAATGTACCGTCAAATACTAGTTTATCCAGACGATCGACAATTCCAAAAGGTCTTGTGGCCTTATCAGGGACAACTTCGAACTTTTCAGCTTAACACTGTGACTTTTGGCACAGCCGCTGCTCCTTTCCTAGCAATTCGTACGATCCAACAACTTGCTCGCGATGAAGCGCACGATTTTCCACGTGCCAGTAAACTCCTCCTCCGCGATTTTTATGTCGATGACTTCATCTCAGGTGCAAATTCCTTGGATGATCTCTTAACTATCCGTGATGAGATGACTGCTCTACTGTCCCGTGGCGGTTTCGTTATCCGTCAATGGTCATCCAATCATCGTTCAGTTTTAGATAAAATCGATAAAAGGTCCTTCGACTTAGATTGCTTGATCAAAGATGATCCAGTCCAGAAAACTTTGGGTATTATATGGGATGCCCAAAACGATCTGTTGCAGTACACTTTGAATCAGGTTGATCCTAACGTTGTTGCAACTAAACGCAAACTCCTCTCAGAATTGTCAAAGATCTTTGATCCCCTAGGACTTTTGGGCCCTGTAACTCTATTCGCCAAAGTCTTGATTCAAGACTGCTGGAAGGCGAAGATCACATGGGATGAGTCTCTTCCTCAAGATGTTCACACAAAGTGGAAATCGTTAGCGCTCCAATTGCCAAGACTGCAAGAAGTCTCGTTTTCTCGACAAATCCTGACCTCAAATCCCTCTCGCATCGAGATCCATGGATTTTGCGACGCCTCGAGTCACGGATATGGGGCTTGTCTATATCTCAAATCCAGCAATTCCCAAGGGGATGTTTTAATCAAACTAGTCTGCAGTAAATCTCGCGTAGCACCGCTGAGTGGAATTACAATTCCTAGATTGGAACTTTGCGCAGCCACCATTCTCAAAAGGCTATACCTTGAGGCTAAAGCTCAGTTCGATTTTCCCATCGATCAGGTGTATTTATGGTCTGACTCCACTATCGTTCTTTGCTGGCTTAAGAAAGCTCCTCATCTCTTAAGGACTTTCGAATCAAATAGAGTGGCAGACATCCAAACGTTAGGTGATCAAGTTAGCTGGAGACACGTCCGGTCCGAGGACAATCCAGCTGACGCGTTATCTCGAGGACAACTTCCTTCAGAATTTGTCAAGTATTCTCTATGGACTTCAGGTCCTAGATGGCTAGCTCTGGATGAATCCCAATGACCGCAGTCAACCGTATCTTCTGCAATTCTAGTGCCTGGACTGAAAAAGAGCCTCTGTCTACTCACTACCGTTTCATGTGAATTTCTTTACTCTCGTTTCTCGAATTTCGAACGATTTGTAAGAGTTGTGGCTTACATCTTACGTTGGAAGAATTTCCAAACTCCTCGGAATCGTCCACTCTCGGTTGAAGAGCTCCATGAAGCCGAGTATCGCATCTTCATGATGGTTCAGCGTGAACGATTCTCCGTTGAACTCCGAAAGCTCAGGACCAATCAATCATCGGAAAGTTCAGTTTGTTCATCGTCAAGGGGAACGCCTTTTGACCAATTACATCCATTCGTGGATGAGATGGGACTCCTTCGTGTGGGAGGACGTCTTGAGAAGTCGGAACTTTCTTATGATAAGAAACATCCCATTTTATTGCCCAGTAAACATCCGGTGACTGATATGATTATTCGACAGGTTCATTCCTCGAATCTCCATGCAGGGATTCAAAGCACTCTCTGCGCTATTCGATCGAAATTCTGGATCTTGAATGGTAAAGACCAGATTAGAAAAATCGTTTATCAATGCGTTGAATGTATCCGCCAGAAACCGAAATTAGTACATGCTCAGATGGCAGATCTACCTAAAGCTAGAGTTAACGAAGCACCAGCTTTTTCTCGGACAGGTGTTGATTTCTTTGGTCCTATTCTCATCAAGGAGAAAAGGGATCGCAACCGATCGTTCCTCAAGTCATACGGTTGTGTATTTGTTTGTATGGTCTCTAAGGCTGTACATATCGAGCTCGCTACCGATCTATCCATAGAAGGTTTTTTAACAGCGTTCCGAAGGTTTATTAGTCGTCGGGGTGTCCCTGAACATGTATACTCTGATAACGGGACTAATTTTGTCGGAGCTAATCGAGAACTTGGCGAACTTTCTGATCTTCTCTCCTCTCCTAATTTTAAGGAAACGGTGGGAAATTTCGCGTTAACTAAACGCATCACGTGGCATTTCAATCCACCTTTATCACCTCATTTCGGAGGGATTTGGGAAGCAGCTGTAAAAAGTTTCAAACATCATCTGAAACGCGTTTTGAAAGATCATAAGCTCACCTACGAGCAACTCAATACTTTGCTGATCGAAATCGAAGCGATCTTAAACTCTCGACCTTTATGTACTCTTTCAGCTGATCCCAATGATCCCTTAGCTATAACTCCAGCCCATCTGTTGATAGGTCGACCCTTCAACGCCTTACCCGAAAAATCGTTTTTATCAGTTTCAGACAATCGCTTGTCCACTTACAACTTCATCACCAAGGCCAAACAGGATTTTTGGAATAAGTGGCACAAGGAATATCTGCATGAATTGCAAACTCGCCAAAAATGGCATACTTCGACTGCGGAACTCGAACTGGGATCAGTAGTCCTACTCATGGATGACGCTGTTGCTTGTGCACGATGGCCGCTGGGTGTGATCGTCGAAGTGTTTCCTGGGAGTGACGGCATCGCTCGAGTTGCATTAGTTAGGACTGCCAACGGCACCTACAAACGCAACATCACTCGCCTCTGCCTGCTACCTATCACCTAGTTATAAGTCTTAGTTATAACTGTTGATATGTAAATATCTCTGTGTATATATATTAACCTGCATCATAGCAATCTATCGTTAGACTATTCCGCAGCTTTCGCCGGGAGTATGTTCCATCGTAACACATTTATTTTAATATAACCGCGCTTGGTATGTTGGCGACAATGGGTGGCGGCGCCACCATGCGCCAGTCTGGCGGGTACGAGCATGCGGGGACGCTTGATGATGTCAGAGTCTAACCGACGCCACAAGTGTGTGTTTCGTGTGCAACTGCAAATTAATCATTTGACAAGTCATCCTGACTTTATCGTTGTCATAATTGACAAAATATTCATCCGAAAGGAACCATCGATCAATCAATCGTTTTCGTTCACAAACTGTAGTGACGAAAAAACCTAAAAATTATCAATCAAAAATCTTAACCTAAGACACGAAATCCAACGATTTCGTGTCACACGTGGCACCGAAGCCACGATATCGAAGTCGTGATTAGCAAATTGCGCAATCATAAATTATTCCACCTAAACATTTAGTGTGGGATTTATCCTATCGTTATTTATCAGTGCGCGTGTGTGTCTACATATTCAGTCGACAGTTCGCCTATGCGTTCCTAGACAAACATTGGTGTGTGGATGCATGTGTGTGTGTGTGAATAACGTCATTCGCAGTTAATCGTTTAAATCTTGTATCGAAGAAAATATATCTGGGTTTTTTATGCTTCGGCTTTTTCCCAAGAATTGTGTTTTTGTGTCAGTTATTTTTTCCATATTTTTTATCATTTATTTTTTCTGATTTTTTAATGCAGCTATCATACCACCTAGGGTATGATAGCCGATAACGTCTTTTCACTCATCACATTCTAAGGACAAAAAAACCCCATTAAATTCACCTTCGGATTTTCACAAATATTCCATACGCCAAGTGTCGTTCTGGGCCCCCTGATATTTCCGGCAGATTTGCTTGTTGAATTGTATATTTTTGAGAGTGCTGATTGCAAATATGAAGACAATTTTTTTACAAAACAGGTGCTATCTATTTGTTTATAACAATTTAATTGTTTCATAGACGATAATACAAAAAAGGTTGGAGATAGAAAAAAAATTGTAGAGAAAAAATTCGAGAGAAAAAGTGCATTTTCACCGTCAAAAACGCATTGGATAAAAAAAATCTGTTTTTTTCTGAAAATTCACAAATTTTCTGACGAAAAATACTATGCCCAATGTGTTTTTCAATCACGTGGAGGTAATGAGGAATTTTCATCGAAAAAATCGCGAAAAAAGTGAAATTTCCTCGGAAATTTCGCATGTCTTATGAAGGAGTTGAGTTAGAGCCCTGAAATTTCAGGTGAAGTCAGTTCTTATCGAGTATAAAGATATATCAAAAGTTGGTATAAATCCCAAACTTGGCTCAAAATGATCGGTTGTTAATTTGTGGAATGACCCGTATATAAATTATCCGAATATCATGTACGAAAAACCTATACAATTCTCTATAGAATCACCCAATAAGAATTTCTCATAGATCATTCCTATCTTCTAATAGAGATTTGTTTGATAGGAATTCTTACAGAGTTCTGTAACAGAAATTCAATACAATTTCTGAGAGAAAGCGCTAGTTTTTTATATGAAATTTTCTAATGCGTAGCTGGCTGTGTCTAGTTCTGCAAACTAAATCTTCATTTGAGGAAAAAGAGTAATATTGCAAATTCGATTAATAGATCAGTTGAAAATGTATCCTCCGAGTTTAAATACCTTTAAATTTTAAATACTTTCCTTGAGAACTAATTGAATAAATCCGTTAACTTGATCAAAATGGAGTTTATTTATTCAATGAGAATAATTTCCTCTCCTGTGCCCCTTTCCATCGCATGATAAGTGAAAAACAAATAAAAACACAATGTGTTCTAATTGTTTTCCAGTGCAATTGCATGATGCGAATGCTCAATTTCTGATTCATGATAGACCCCCAGAATAAACTGCGTTTGAATCGAATGAAGAGAGGTTAGAAATGTAGTCTATTAAAGACAGCAACATGAATAATAGTTCATATTATTAACTAAATCGAAGCGTACCCTGCCATTAGAAAATATAAGTTCTTGAGGCAAGCAGTATCCTCGTGATTTTATCGACATTCTAGTGAAGAATGCTGTCCATAAAGTTGACGATAATTTTGACATTATTTTGTAGAAAATTCTGTAGGAAATTTTGGCGTAATAATAGTCGACATATTGCTACCAAGCAAGCAGCAATATTGGCGATAAATTCACTGATAAATCGCTGGTCTTTTTACGGAAAAAATTGCTGATAGGTTTCGTCATTAAGTGCGACAAGTTTGGGGATAATTTCTTTAATAAATTGCTGATTGATTTTACGGAAAAATTGGTAATAAATTGCGTTATTGAGTACGGAAAGTTTGGGGATACTTTCGCTGATAACTCGATGTTTGATATTTTCATGATAACTCCAAAGCAGTAATACATTCCGGAATTTCGTCAACAATTCTCCTACAAATTTTTGGAAATCATATCGACGAATTGTCGACAATTTATCGACATCCTGCTGTATGGGTTATCAATTTATCTTTGAATTCATTTTGCATTAGCCTAATGTGCATTTTGAAATCAAAATTATGGTCAGTTTTCATCTATCTAGAGATGAAGCTATTTTATTTATGACAGTCATAAATTACAAATGAGTTTGACCGTCATTATGTATCCATATAGATGGTTTGACAACAATTTGCTTAGAAATTATTTGTGGCGATCATTTGTAGTTACAACATTTGTGCGTCACATGACCGTTATTTTTTGGTCACATGACGCGATCTCAAAACTGACTGTCATTTTGCATCTCCAATTCAGAATCATTGAGAAGCAACAATGCTATTTTCAAAAGCAAAAAAATCATATTTTCATTTCTCAAAAAAGTTGAAAGTAGATTGAGAGATAATTGAAAATCAAAAATTCATTTTTCAAATGCAAACCGGAGAATTTTTTCAGAGTTTTTACAAAACTGGATAATTCCTTCAATTTTTTATAAAAACGCAGAATTTTCGCAAATTTTTTAATAAACTGGAGAATTTTCTCGAAAAATGAAGAATTTTGTCGAATTCTCCAGAAAACCGGAGGATTCCCCCGAATTTATTAGAAAATAGATGAATTTCATCGAATTTTCTAGATAACCGTAATTCTTCCGAACTTATTAGAATATCGGCGAACCTCGTGCAATTTAGTAGAAAATCAGAGAATTAGCTTGAATTTTCGTGAATTTTTTAGAAAATCGGAGAATTTCCTAGAACGTTCCCAAAAATCCAATAATTTTCTCGATTTTTTTGGAAAACTGGAACATTAATTCAAATTTTTTAGAAAATTTAAGAATTTTTTCGATTTTTTTTTGAAAATCGACGGATTTTCTCGGAAATCGGAGAAT